AATGTCCCTTTGGAGACATTGTTATAGACAATTGCAATATAAATACAATTATTGCGTAACATTTATTCCGTTTTTCATTAAAAAAATGAAAACAACACGTTATAAATTCCATGCGCCCGAAGATTTTCTTTCATTAGGTACGCTCAAAACCCGATATTTGAAAGGATGTTTAAGAAAGAAATAAGTTGAAAAGCTAAATAACCCGAAGGACCTAAAAAGTAGCCAAATCCATCTGATATCAACTTTGCTTGAGGGCGTTGGAAGTTTAGTTTCTTACAATTTACAATTTACTAACGGACAATTTCAGAAGGTTTGTTATACATATTTAAATCATGTCAGTAACGAAGTACTGATTTCTGGTGTGATCATACCTCGGTGACTGATAAACCACCAGCAGTGGAAACGCCCCAGTGTGGTAAAAAAAAAAACAACACATTATCAATTCAATGCGTCTGAGGCGTTTTCTGGATTAACCTTCAAATATAACTTCCGTTTATTACTCTGACAGAGGGCAATATGATTGCAGAACCGAAATTAATTTAAACTAAAGCTTTATATTTATATGCGTTTTCAAAATCAATAGGTTTGATCTTTTAACTTTAAAGGGATATTTACAATAGGTCATAACTTTGAACTTTTGAACACAATGCAGAACTGTTTAACTGTATAATAGGACTAATTGTAGTGAGAATTCTGTTCCAGTAAATACGGGATCCGTGTTTCTCATTTGTCTATAGTTTGTATTTTTTTTTTAATCCTGGGTTTGTCTTTATCGCTTAATTTCCATTATTCTTGACTGATACTTCGGGTTTTTTGCGGTTGATTTACCTTTTCAAACAGAGTATACAATCCTGCGCTCTACATGGACGAAAACAAAATCAAAAATACCACGCTCTTTCATTTTTATTTTGCCTTTTACTGTCTTTCGTAAAATAATAATAATTTTCCGTATAACACTTCATATAAAATCAAAACATTATACTTAAGCCTAGCAGAATAAAGAAAATGAAATAAAAGAATATGCAGATATCGGAATATCGGGTATATGGTGAACATGCTAAAAGGTGCATCAAAACTCTGAAATCATTTGATCCACTATGAAGACATTCCAGTAAAATAGACCAACCAGACTGTAGAGCTTTGTATAGGTTTAGTAGAGCGAAAAATTGAGAAGAATAATTTTAACGTTATGAGTTTGATCAAAATGTGCAATTGTGTTTTAAAACCTTGAAAATGAAAAGATTTGTTTTAAATAAAGGAGTTGACACCTTAGTTTCTCAATGAATTATTAATATATCAATGCAGAATTTAAGAATATTTTTTACACAAGATGTCAGTACCAAAACACAGACTATTGAGTTGATGGAATTACCAGAAACTAAGGTCCACCAGCAATGATATTTAACCAGTGCTGGTGAATTGCTCTTGTTTCATTTCGAAAGCGCTTTTCTGGAAAAACCTGTTTTCATTTGAAAGCTAGGGTGTATAAATATGAAGAAACGTTTTGATCTATTTCACACAAAAGAAGCGGAAACAGAGTATGAAAATCAATCTAAAGTCAACTTTGCATAAAAATAGTAAGAACCTAATTTTCTACGATTTTTTAAATTTATTAACGCGAAATTTAAGTTAAAAAACCTTATAAATCATATAAGATCTAAAACATTTACTTCTGAGTTGGTAATACCCTTGGAGACTAAGAGTCAATCAGCAGAGTTATCAATCCAGTGTTAGTAATAGGAAACAACGCTGTATATGTTTCGTCCGAAACGAGTTGAGGAAATTACTTTCATTGGGAAAGCTCATACCAAAAAATTAAAAAGTCACGGATGCAAAACTAAGTACAAATTTTAAAGCCATATAATAAAGTAACTGACTACTATAGAAACTTAAATTCGACCAGCAATGGTATCAACCAGCAATGGTATCGACCAGCAATGGTATCGACCAGCAATGGTATCGACCAAGTATTGGTAAACGATAGGAGTTTTTAATAAATTCCATGCGACCTTTATCATCGCAATTGGAATTTTTGTATTAGTTCAAATTACAACCCATTATGAATTTCTAAAATGAATAATAATTGTTCAACAGCTACGATATGTGGGAGGGAAATTGTTCAACTTTATTTGAACTTATACTTCGGAAATGTCAAATATTTGTTATATCAGTTGCTGATATTTGGTAAAAGAAATCATTTACAAAATAACTTAATTCGAGATGTTAAAAATATTGCTAGGACTTTTTTGTATCTGTATAGGTAAGTTGCAATCTATTGACCATTTAAATTTGAGCAATTTTTTGTTTAATTTTTATTATTTTCATTTAAAATTATAATGTTTGTATGAAGAAAGCTTGAAAAAGTTAGAGATAATAATCAGAATATAATCTCAATAGATACTTTCCTTTAATACATGCAAAAACGAGAAATTTACATGACTCTAATCATGTCATTTAATAAATATGGTAAGATATGATTAAGAGCCTTTTTCCGCTTTCTACTTAATAAATAAAGAAGAAGAAAAAACTGATATGATTTAAAAAGTAGAAAGTTTTAAAATGCATTTCCAACCCTCACTTAGATGTTAGTAAAACTTATTGGTGTTGATTGTACTTACTTTCAGTAGGATTGGAAGCAGAATTCGTCATTCCTGAATGTTTAGGTGTATTTTTCTGTACCGAAATACCCGACCTTGAAAGACATCTTACATTTAAGAATGGAACTTCTGGAAGAAGCGTACACATAAATAAAGATATTGTGACAGACATATGTAGGTAAGACAATCGTCATGTTCAAAATTAAAAGAGATCAATATTTAAAAAAATTATTCGACACATTATATAAAATGTTTTACGTAAATAGAAAAATGCTTAATTCTGTACACGCTTAAAAGCAACCAAAATGTGTTTATTTTGTTTTTTTTCATCATGAAAATGCAACAAATATATGTCAAAAGGCGTTAAGAAAACATCAGTAAATAAACCAATCTTGCTCATTTTATCCGTTTTAAAATATAGTGTTAATAGCAGTTAGTTTTTATGAATCTGCGCAAACTCTTTGCACTAAGGCTTCTTTAAATATTGTAATACATATTGTCCAATCATTTTTCTTTTGATGGACGCTGTGCCTTTGATGTTATTTGTTTTTATGTTGTTTTTGTTTTCTTTTGTAAGATTGGTTTTGTGTGTTTGTTCTTGTCGGAATTGTATACTCAAAATTATACATTCACATATGTATCAAATAAATTGCCTCACGCTTCTAAGACATATGTTAACGAAGGTAGTCATTACACCTTCTTACACAACATAACATTTTCGCAAGGTAAATTAAGATTACAAGTAAATGTATAAATATCGTTTAATTGCAGTTTTTTGTTGAGCATTGCAACATGTATAGATTCCGGTGTTCCTCCATCGTGTGCAGCTTACACCAAGTTATATAGTACCTTCCAGAATGTTGTCACGGCTGCTTGCCATAAGAACATCCAAGGTTTTTGTATTTATTTTTAAAAATCTCTTACATAGTATAAAGTAAGGATATTAATTAAACAATTAAATTTTTTCAACGGATACATACTATAAATGCCATGAGTTTTATAACCTAAAACATCAGTACCATTGTTTACCATTGTTTACCAACATAAACAAATCGAAGCCAAAACTGAATAATTGCGACTAGAAATTTAGAATTGATACCCGATATTGCAATGAAATCTTTGCATATATATATTTTACAATCACAACACTGAAACAACATATAATAAAAGTTTATGTAAATTAAAAAAGACCAACATTTTATTGTAGATATAATGGATTTGGTAGAAGGTTTCAATGATCTTGGCCCTGAACAAGAAGACTTTATAAATTGCATGGGAAAACATTTGAGTGAAAAAACTGTCGATGTAGATAAGTGCAGGTAGAATTTTCAATACTTTATTCGTTATTTAATGTTGATTGGTGAAGCGGGGGTAAATGGAGATCTATCTTTAAACCAGGAATGCATTTCTAAACTCTCTTGTTAAATGAAAGTAAACTAATCTGTGTTAGTAAGAAGCTAAAAACATGTTATGCAAGTATTTCAACGACAGTTTCAGTGCTTTTAAGAACATTGACCCTTTCCCTATGTCTAACTGCTTTAACAAGAGTCGAAAGATACCAAATTGATTATCAAAATTTATATGTTGAAGACAAACCGACAACAATATGACAAAAAACGAAAACCACGACTAGAAAAACAGTATGAAAAACACCACATAAAAAACCAAAGACTGAACAATAGTAACCCAACAAAAGTCGAATAGTTCATACTAAGTACACATTTGGTGACAAGTCTCATTCTGCAATGCAATTTCATAATTGACAAGAAAAGAGATTTATATTTTCGCTATGATAGTGTTTCAGCTATACATTCAGATAACCATTATATTCATTTTCAAATTCGTTGTAAATCATTTAATATGGGTATAGGCATCAAACATAATCTATATAATCTGTCGACAGGGTATATTTTGTTTATCGCATTTTGTGGCTAGATGAAACAGTTGATATCGACACTACGATGTAATTATTGGGGGATGTACATTTTTGCTATTAAATTAATATCAGTAAACTGTTATATTTTCGACTTTCTACTATGTAACTTGTACGTTTTGTACTGAATATGTTTGCAGTTGTTTCGTATACTGTTACTGTATGTGCCGTGAATAATTGGAAACATTCTAAACTACAGTGAAACGCAAGTAATCATCTCCTTCGAAATTGATTTCGAAACAAGCGACGGTCAACCCAAACAAAATTTGTAATGAGCTTCGGTGTACCAAAAGCATAAGCAGTTTCTATACCACAGGTCGCATCTGTTGTGTTTAAAGTTACAAAAATAAATCTGGTCTATTGTAGAACAATGTATGTTGACCCGTAGAAGCTTTATCTATTTTTGAAATTAATCATCTCATTGCCATTTACTCTAGATCTCTATTTAATGTTAGTTTGTATTCGTTTAGTATTTTACAGAGTATAAAGACATGCAATTATGATCACTTCAGCTCTAGGAGTCCTGATGCTGTGTCCAATATTGAGAGTTATATAGACCAATACAACGATGACATCTGCTACTTGCGTTCCTTTTTAGACTGAGGAATAGTATCAACTTTATTCGATTTAATTCCTGAATAAAGCATTTTTGAATTTAATTTCTTTTCTTTAAAATGAAAAAGATAAACAAGAATCAATAATAATAATATTTTATTGCCTTTGATTGCAATCGCAGTTTTCAATTGCATTTCTTATTCAAATAATATGGCAAACATTTTTATTCGATAATCAAAATTTACACAAATAAGCAAAATTCAGTATCCAAAATGAATGTCTGTACTCAAATACGGATCTCTTACTGGTATCTTTAGATTATTTTTGAATAGATAACAAAAATTACCAAGACAAAGGACAAGGTTCACTTATGGCACAAAATGGCCTAAAATATCAACTTTATCATAAAACACCAAAAAGGTCACAAAATAGTTCGTAAATAGGTCTATTTCAAAAGCCTTTATGCTAAATAAATCAGTTCTTTTTATAAAAGTACATAATATTCTCAAAAGTAAGCCCATTTAGGACATTTTGTCAAAATATGATGATTTTGGGCAAAATTACAGACCTAAAAGCTTGAGAAAATCCTTGGCCGCCACCAATGATCCAAAATGTTTTGTAACTGAAAGATTCCAATGTTGACATAGGATTCATCAATATAAAAACTTTTTGAATCGTGGATGGCGGCCCGGATTAATTATGCCAAAAACAATTAAAATTATGGAATTGTTTTTCCAAAATTGACCTTTAAATACAAATAATGTTTATTTAAGGGGTCATAGCTTCATATAAAAATATATTTTTTGTCTTAATAGTATTATCATAAGTATTTTTATGGGAAATTTGTAATTTTTTAACCCAATTTAAAAAACATCAAAAATTTAGGGCCAATTTTAACCCTTCGTGAACCTTCTCCTTTGGCAGCACCAGAGACAATGAAAAACATAGACTACAAACACATCGACTAATCGAGAGAAAAAACGAAAAAAACAAACATTGTAGAAAATCATGTCTTTCTCAGAATGGTTATGACGTCTTAAAAACATGATTTTATTATTAGTGGGTATTGGCTCTGAATGAGCTTTCAGTATCTACCAGTACACCCACATTGGAACTTAGTGTCTTAAAACTATTAGTTAGTTGTTGTTTTCTGTGTTTTGTGTCAATCTAATGAATCAGGCTTTTTTCGACTGACATTTATAGTGTGTTCTAATATTGCGCTATTACACCACTGTCTCAGGTTAGGGGAGAGTAAGTCACCCGCAAACATCTTTAACCCCAAAGCATTATGTATGTGCTTCTCCAAATCAAGAGCGTGCAATTCAGTCGTTGTCGTTTTTTGCTCTATATATATCAAATTTGTTTTTCGTTTATTGTTTTGAACATCAATTTCGTGATTTGTTTAACATTTGTCATTTCCAAGCGTTTGATAGCTTGCTAAGCGGTATAGATTTTGTGCATTTTTTTCGGCCGTGCAGTGACCAACAGACAAACAACAGTACACAAAACAAAAAAACAAAAACTAAAGACAGAGCAACACGAACCCCCCCCCCCCCCCCCCCTCAAAAGCTTGAGGTTTATCGCAGGTGCTCCGGAAAGGTAAGCAGATTTTGCTCCACATGTGGCTCAGTCGTGTTGCTCATGTAAATACAAACCCGGTAATAAGTATAATTCCTTAGGTCACATTCGGGGGAAATGAACGGGATTGTAGTTACAACATACCCGTCTTCATCTGTTAAAAAGCTATTCCATAACGGTCAAAAAACTTACGATGGGATGATTTCAACTTCAACACTCAAGACCCTTGGTTTAATAGCTTCCTCTATTAAGGAAATCATGATAGGTAATACAGGCCCTGGAATATCGTAGGAACAAGTCGTCTAGAAGAGGAGCACAGTTGGTTCCCATGGGAATGCCGATTGTTTGTTGAAAATCACGTTTTCCAAACGTAACAAATATGTTGTCAATCAAGAAATCAGTCAGTTTCGTATAATTTTTTGTTTGAATCAATATGATTTTTTTACAAAATAGGATTTATTCCTCCCTAAGACAAGATACTTTTTATCCCTCCCTAAGACAAGATACTTGTAAATACGATGGCCATTCTTTATTATGAAACAAAGCAGGACCCACTCTTTCAATTTGTCTCTTAGTTTGGAGTGGGGAATACTTGTGTAAAGTGTAGAAAAGTCAAATGTAAGAAGAAATAACACCAATGTATAATCATGTTTACATACGTTAGTGACCAGGAATATTACGACGGTAAAAAAGAAAAAAAAGCAAAGCCTTTGCAAAGATTCGCCTCTCTTTTATAAAAGAGCTTCACTAAGCGCTTCACTAAGTTTAATTCCAGCAAGAACACGTAAAGCTAAAACTTTAAAAGCTAAGGATGTATAAAACAGAAACACATTGAGATCTTAATGACTTAAAGTAACCAACAAAAAAAACAGCCAATAAAGGTCAATACAAAATCTGCACCTAGTTGAAAGTGAGAAAGAACGGACGATATATCTTTAAACAGTAAGGTATATTCTTAAAAGGTAACATTCCCGACATGAATACATCGTTGTATAGTATTGTAATAGAACAGACATATTATTTTACTTTTATTAGTTTATGATGACTTTACATAGTTTTGTTATGTAAACAAAAACTGTAGATATTTATAACATTAACATTTTTGATAACGTTTTCAGTTCGACATCCTATTTCCACCTCCCCTTGTAAGAAAGCAGGGGTACCGAACGGAAGAGGCTGAAATAATATTTGATATAAACTAAGTAGTCAATATGTATATACTTTTTTTAACCTTTTTCACATGTAATATTGGCACAAAAGAAATCCCAACTTGCGTAATGGAAAGCGCCGCTACAGAAAATATCAAAGATTTACAATCAACACAAATGTAAACATGTCAAAATACATACCAAAGTAGATAAACTGTAATAGAAATTGATATAAGGTCTTGGTCCCGTGACTTGAAACATATACATGAATATGCAACGGGGACTAGCTTGTATATCATTTTTCCGTTTTTGAAATAACCTTTTAAAACATGGTATTGTTTTGGAAAATTAACAACAACGTTCAAGCATTAAGTGCAGATTAAGGTTTATTTGTGTGTTTAATATAAAAATAAGGAAATGAGGTATGATTGCCAATGAAACAATTATACACCAAAGTTCATATAAAGTTGATGTAAGCAATTATACACAACCGTACGACCTTCAACACTGAGAAAAACCCATACCGTATAGTCGGCTGTAAAATGCACCGACATGAAAAATATAAAACAATTCAACTGAGAAAACTAACGACCTAATTTATAACAAAACAATTAACGAAAAGCAAATATGACAGACATGAACCAACGACAACCATTAAATTACAGGCTGACTGACTCGGGACAGGCACATGAAGAATGTGGCGGGGTTAAACATGTTTGTGAGCGCTCAACCCCTCCCCCTAACATGGGACAGTGGGCTAACAGCACAACATAAGAACAAACTATAATAATCAGTTGACAAGGGCTTAACTCATCAGATCGATATAAAACAGAATAACATCAAACATCAAACACAGACCGAACGTGGCAGGGTATTTATCCATCCCTCATCCCTAATAACAAAAAGGAGAACAAGTACAGATCTGAGAGTATCCGTAGTTACTGCCAGCTAGTTCAAAGCCAATAACAACTAATAAAACAAATCATGTATCTAAGACTAAAATATCAATCAGTACACATCCAACATACAATGGCTTTAGTGTAAAGACGTCATTAATAGTCAGAGAAAAATATTATCTTGTGTATCGACAAAATAAAGGATCGACAGATTGTATTACCGTTAAAGTCCATATGTGTATAACAAAACTATTAGTATGATTTTAATTTACTGATAACAAAATCAATATTCATACCAGTAAAAATAATATTCAAAGATCCGATTACAGAGTTGAATTGATAATCTTTTAGAATAAGTTTATTTAAAGGATTGATAAGTTTACCCGGATCGTATATAAATTTCCGGGCTCGGTAAACAACATCACCGTAAAACTTAGGATGTGCTATTCCGTCTGAAATAAGTTTTTTACAGGTACAGGCAAACTTGCAAACCAAATCTTTGTATCTATGGAAGAATTTAGTAAAGGTTTAAAGTAATTTGTAGTAACGAAATCCCTGACTTAATAATTTACCAGTAATACATAGATTACGTCCATTGAAATCCTAAACGTTGCTACAGACATGGGCATAACGAACGAGTTGCCTTATACATCCTTGGCTTTCAAATATTCGGCTTTTAGCGTTCCTGATGAAGATAAATCCAGAAAAGCTCTTAGGAAGTATGAAATTTATAACGTGTTGTTTTCATTTTTTGGGGATATATAAACACAAGGTACCGTAAGATGGTGTCAGAGGAAGATTACCATCCAATTTACATTAGGAAAGACAAATCATCGATTGAATTTAAAAAAAAAATCATTATCATTTACGTTTTTATCAAAAACGTTTCTTGTTGTTATGATAATGCAAGAATTTTCCCGTTTTTCCTAACAGTTCGGTGATTAAATGTGTTTGCGAAAGCGAGGGAGTTAATTGAGGTGGCCTAATTCTGCATAATAAATTCCAATATTTGCAACGAATTATGTTTCTATTAATATCATTAACGTTACTTAAAACTGTTATAATTAATAAGGCTTTAAGGTAATGAAATATAAATACATTTCTCTATAAATATTTTTATATAGAAACACTTCAAATGAAGAAAACTCGGTATGATTCAATTCAATAGACAGTCAGATATAAGAGTGTATAATCTTAACTATTAGTTTGATTTCTTAACTTTTATACACATACAACTGACAAAAGTAAGGCAAATGAAAAAGAAATATAGAATACCACTCTCTGGTGTAGTAAATCATAGCTAGAGGTATATTGTCAATTAAGTGATTCAAAGAAATTTAATTACACATCAAATGAAAGGTTCTTATCATTGTTTTCTAATTCCAAGTCCTATATCAATCAAGTATTTTACTCAGTTAAATAAATTTCGATGTAGCATTTTTCAACAAGGGTTTTTGTAGAAACTTGTTCGCCTCCCGGCTTATATCATCCCAGCGACATTTTGCAGCTTCGTTTGAATACGGATTGACTGGATCTATGATGTATGGAACAGAATGATCCCTTAAAATATAAGAAAAGTAGTGTCAAGTATTTTCGGAGGAAGGACCAATGATATCAACACCACCTTAATTCAACGGTCACCATGACAAATTGGTTGACCGATATGATGTGTCGTGTGTCAACTCACTAATAATATGTCTTATGTCTTTAGATGCTAAAATGGTCGTCAGATCTGTAATTTTACCGACTGTTTTATATTTCCAATTGTGATATTTTGACCATGTGTTGATTGGAATGGCGGACAATACACGCATAACAGGAGACACTTACACTGTAGACGCACCTGGTCCCGCCCCTTTTGGAATTCATGCGATATCTGCAGTGTTTGTTTGGTACCTTGATTTGAATACCAGTTAACTACCATTTTTGTTTTTACAATTTACCTTTACTGTTTTTTAACAATATAAAAAGGTTCAAAAATAAGAAAGGTACGATAAAAATTGAAAACAAATAAAAAAAAAAACACCGTTGTTAAAAAAACTTAATAAAGAAAAAAAAAAAGAAAACATAAAACAAACAAAAAACAGACAACAAATTTTGTTATACAAGTAAGTTTTTTAGTTAGGGAATTGTGTATATCTTAAAAAAAAGGAGAACACTTTAATTTTGTCTTAAGATTTCATGTAGGATGATACAATAGCTCATTATATAGACTTAAACGTTCATAGAATCTCAAATGAAAGAGTAACGCATATATTCTATTTGGTGTTTGTCTTGCACAATTCTGATAGCCTTCAAAATATAATTGTTGCCAAGATGTTTAGGTATATTCACTTTTGGAAAGTCATTGTCTAAAATATTGGGAAAGTGTAATCTATTATAAGATAGTGCTTGATACTACGGTCGATATTCATATACAAAATGCTGTTGATCGATGTGCTATACGAAGGATGTCATAATATAAGTAAGATATGTTTAACTTCCAATAGCACCCAATATGAAGATAAAAAGATTTGGTATAATTCTCAATAAGAAAACTTTCAACCATAGACCAACTGACGTAGAAGATAGAAACTATATGTCACCATGCGGCCGTTAGCACTAAGCAAAACCTTTACCGCATAGCAAGTTATAAAAGACCCCGAAATGACAAATATAAAACAGTTCAACGGAGAAAACAAACGGCCTGATGTATGTACCAAAAAAAATACAGCAAGGAACGACAGCCAATGAATTACAAGCTCCTTACTAAGACAGGCACATACAGATAGTTGAGGATTATAACATGTTAGCGGTCTCTCATCCTCATCATAACCAGGAACAGCGGTGCAACAGTACAACACAAGACTAAAGTACAATTAAATAAACGAAAACCAAATATGATAACAGCAACAAACGACAATCATTCAATTACAGGCTCCCAATTGGGACAGGCACATATATAGAATGTGTCAGACTTCAATATGTTTGCAGAAGCCAAACCCTCCGCCTAATAAGCACAGTTGTAGAACAGCACAACATAAGAACAAACTATGAAAATCAGTCGAAAAGTGCTAAACTCATCAGATCGATAAAAAGCACAAAAACACGAAAGACACAAAGTACGGATCTTAAAAAATATTTAAGAGAGTAGAAAGATACCAAAGAGACATTCAATTTCATAAGTCGAAAATAAACCGACAACGCCATGGCTAAAAAAGAAAAAGACAAAAACAGTATAGAAAACACAATATAGAAAGACTGAATAACTGATATTGTAAGTACAAACCCGGCGAGAAGACGGTAGGTCACATCCCGGAATAAGGATTGGGTTGTGACTACGATAATTAGAACAAATCTTTCGGCATCTGTATGTGAAACAGATATTCCATAACGGTCAAACAACTCGAGATGACATCCGTATACTTTTCGGAGAGATGATTTCAACGTCACCACTTTCTTTAAAAATCTAATTACAAGGTAAAATTGGAAACATTTAAGAATACGATTATTCAAACGATCGATAGCTATACCCGGATCATATCTATGTTTACGGGCTCGATAAACAACACCACCGAAAAAATAGGATGTGCTTTGTCGTGTGAATAAGTTTTCTACAGGTGCAGCTAAACTTTCAAACCAAATCTTTGTATCTATGGAAAAACTTAGTAGAGGATTTAAGTAATTTGTGGTAACGAAATCCTTGACTTAATGATTACCAGTAATACATAGATTACGTTCATTGAAATGCAAAACACACACGGGCATAGCGAACGGGTTTGGATATATAAACACTGGTATTCATGTCATGAACTTGTTGGTGATGAATTTCATGTTTTATTTGTATGTCAACGTGATTCTTTTGTCGATTATAGAAAATAACATTTATCTTCATACTATGCTATTTATACAAAATACATTAAAATGGAAATAATTATTGTCCATATTTAATATGAGAGTCTACAAACGACTTTTAATTTTTATAAAGAAAATTGCTTGTTTGTTCTAATTTTTTTTCAAATTGATTTCTATGTGTTTAAATAGTATCGCATCGAGATTTTTTACTGTTCCTCCATTAATATATATATATATGGGTCAACATTATCTTGTACCTGTTAATTATTTGTGTTGTCAATGTTTCTTAATCAAGGTCAATGACAAATTTAAGAAGTATTTTTTAAAATTATATTTCATGCAATTTATTATGATAATCAGTCTATGGAAAGTGCGAATCGAGAAAAAACTGTTTCTAATGTGGAGTCGTGATATTTTCTAATATGAAATTGTAAATTTGTAGACACTCCTTTAGGAAAAAGATGTTTTTTTTCGTTTAATATTAAAATACATAAATACGTTCGGTCCGAAATTTATTCACCCAACAAACAGGAGAGTTTTATGTAATACCATTAATGAATAGAGCATGAAATCGACATGCTCAATATCAAAATAACAGCAAAAGGTTTTGTCCGTGTAAAATTTGTACTGCTACGTTTTTCTTTTGTAAATAAATAATTAAATGCTATTTATTTTATTGTTGATGCGATGTTTTTTTTAATGTAGTTGCGGTATGTTTTTATTGTAACTATTATTTTCATTATATATGAGGTAGCAATGATTAGCTCACCTCTTAACGTCAAAATGACATCTTTCAAAATTCTGATTATTCTGATCTGCTTACCCTTCCGGAGCACCTAATATCACCTCTAGTTTTGTTTAAAAGGGGTTCGTGTTGCTCTTACTTTAGGTTTAAGTGTGGTACTATTTAATTTTTCAATGTCTGTGTTGTTTATACCGGTAACAGTCTCGTCTATCCTTTGTAGTGACAAAACATGTTCCTATTTGAAAATTTTACATTCGGTCAAGTTTCGGGTTAGGGCATTTACGGTTTATTAATTTGGTAATGTATAAGTGTTAGATAAGAGTCAATTAAAAATCCGCTACTTTGCAATACCATATCACTTGATACTTATCAACGTATTTTATAAGAGTAGCTTGACAGGTGTCGCATGTGGAGCAGGATCTGCTTACCTTTCCAGAGCACCTGAGATAACCCCCATTTTTGGTAGGGTTCGTGTTGCTCAGTCTTTAGTTTTCTTTGTTTTGTTTTGTGTACTATTGTTTTTCTGTTTGTCTTTTCCTTTTTTTAGCCATAGCGTTGCCAGCTTATTTTCTAAGCAGTGGATATTGAACTTCGTGTCTACTTCTTTGTAAGGGTATTATATAATTGGTTTATTATGTACGTGCATTATATACTAAATGTCGGTGATAGTTCGCCTTTAACAATGAACCTGTAATGAATAATTGTCGATGTTTCTGCTTTTTTTGGATGTAGTGTGCCATATTATCGTATTGTTTTTCATATGAAAAAAGTATCGCATTTCTATTAGAAAAATATCGCATGGGAAAAGTTTTTCATATAAAAGTATATAACTTTGCTATTAGAAAAACGTCGCACTCATATAAGAAAATACAGCATTATTATCCTATTACAAGTGATTATGGCGTTGAATGCAATCGAATACGTTCAATGGCCATTCCACTGTCTTTGGTACATGATTGTCAAAGTATTTGGACACCTCAAAATTATTGATCGTGCAAATAGTGTTATATTTAATGCAAATACAGATTTACTCGTATAAATACAACATACTTGGGATACAATGTTCAAAATACATGGCAAGTTGTATATACTTTTGTCCTGTTAAATACGTCTATGTTTTAAAGAGAAATATTAAGTACTTTTTGATGAATTTTCTTTAATTCCTACAAATGTCAACATTCGTCTGAAATTTCCCCATAATGCATCTTGTTTACAAAAGAAAATATCGCAACTCCACATAAGAAACGGTTTTATCGATTCGCACTTTCCATAGACTGGTTATGTGATAATTACGGCATTGGCATTTTTAAGAACTTTAGGGTCATTATTTACCGTATATGGACCCTTTCCTTTCAAAAAAAAAACCGCGATTTCCCTAAACTAAATTCACCTTTGCTGAAAATCCCTGTTGTAATATTCCAAGAATTCAACTCTTATGTTTTTAGTATCAGCAATAGTTTCCATTACTTTCTTCAATGCATTTGTCAGCTGGAATTGTTGAGGATTGCTGTCCTGGATCCAAAGAAAAATCATCAGTAGTTCAAGTCCAAACGATGATGGAGACTTCTGGGAAAATAAGAAAGTACAATCAATTTCAGTTTTTATTGCATTTTTGCATTACTGTATATAGCATTTAGAATTAAAAGGAAGCTACATAAATGTATATTACGTACTTTCCTGACTTGGAATGATAAATTGAATTTGATATCAGTACCCTTTAGCCATATTAGTTTGACAGTGAAACATTTTTATTTCGGACTTTAAAAGTAATTGTGAATATGGCTTCTATTTTCCACCGTAGGGATGACATGTTTTTTTTTTTATTTGTTTAAATATAAAAATTGACATTACCGTGACAGCATTGAGATTTTTTTTTCAGGTACAAAAATTCGCTCTTTTTATTCCTCCTATAAAATTAAAGATAAGAAAGAACGACCTCTTTGTAAAACAACTGTCAACGAGCTCTTCCATGTTTGTATAACGTTTTGGATTTTCAAATATCTTGGCCTCGAGTACACTGAAGAGAGATACGTTGTCAAAATGTGAATCTACTGAAGTAAAAATTCCGACTGTTGATGTCAAATATAAGGTTAGTTCGGGAATTAGAATAAATAAGTAATTAATTTAGGGTTCATTTTATCATAAGGTGTAGCTTTATTATGAGTTCAAAAGCTGCATCAGTTTTATTTAATTCTAAATGGTTGGCAAACTTACAGTAGCAACAACTTAGAAATACTAGAAATAATTTTGTTTTCTTTTGTTTCTTTTAAAATTTTGATAGAAGAATGACACATTCATTTAACAACTTCTACCTTTGTTTTAATTCGCATGGCTATATAAACACTACATAACTCCCTTAAAAATATACGAAAATTAGGATATGATTGCAAAAGGGACAACTATCAAGCAAAAGACGATCGGGTACGGACGTCAATAACTCCAGGTTAGTGTATGACCTACAAAATTAAAAAAAAAATCGATGAATATAGAAAGCTTTAAAAATCCTGTTGATTGGATAGCAATTATAAAAAAAATATTTGCCTGATTTCAGCTACGAAAAAAAAAATATGACAAACAGAATTCAACAAAAACGGTCTGACTGGAGATTCCTGATTTTGGAAATGTGACCGGTATTTAACATGTTTGTATTTTTTTTTTTTTTTTTTTGCTCTCCTCATCACAGCCAGAGTAGTGGGAAAACATCACAATATCACCAAATTAAAAAACACAATTTAAAATCCACTAATGAATCGGCCATGGTTCCCAAGATTGAATTACTCATCAGTCTACCTCAATTGAGTTTACAAATCAGTCGGAAAAAGAAATCACCTTATGTAATGCCAAAATATTATTATCGACAGGCTATTGGACAATACGTGGTAATAACTTGATAACAATACATGTATAAAACGTTTGAAAACAAAATTCAATGTTAATAGCGATACAAACAATACTTTAAGATCTTTTTTTATAAAGTTAAATAAATAATCTGTCAAAGTGACGTAATATTATGCGATCTAGACATTTAGTCTAGAAATTGAAATTTATTCTAGATTGATGGTTTTATTTAAGTTAAATAACACCTAATGCCTAGGTCACATATTCACGGTTCACCTTAAGGGTTTCACTACGGATTTGATCACACTGATGATCCCGGAAATGCAGTTTCCGTAGTCCGATACGGATACGATACGGATGCACAACGGTGTGACTACGGGTTTTGACGTATCTACCAATGATAATGAGGGAAAGGGGTCATTTGGCGACATGAGCGATACGGATTCTTATGGTACAACACGGTTTGATACGGAAATGACACGGTTTAATACACAACGACACGTGTAGGGGCGTATGTACTGCAGATAAACAGCGGTTTGCTACGGTATAAGAAAGGGTTAGCACGAAAGAGAACGGTCTGTTACCGAATAATATGAACCGCCAACTTTTCTAAGCCGTTAATCATTTCTAATTAAGCTTGTGATTGATCATTTCTTTATGGCAGTAAATCGACGATTTTTTTGTTTTGTTTTAATAAATTATTTTTTTGTCTGTCTGTACCAGGTGGTGTTCTTCGTAATCCTCTGATCAACAACATGTAGCAGTTCTTGAAACATATTTTGGTCTTCTTACAAAGTTCTTAAATACAGCTGGATTTTCCTCACAAAGTACAGCCATGAGGGCCTCATACTGGCCATAGATAGGTCTTTGGAGAAGCCAGTCCCTAGTTGACCATCTCTTCTGCACCCGGTCACCTCTACGTCTGTCATCAAGTAGCTCGACCACTGTCCTGGCATTTTGTGCTATATCAATATCCAATTCCAGCCAATTAATTGCAAGCATCAGTTGTTTATTGTTCATGTTGGATAATGTTATGTATACATCTACGGCAAGACACATACAACGTTTAGCCCTATACGTAGAGAGTTTTTATACAGAAGCCTGATTTCAGTTTGTCGTGGACCGTAATATTCCGTATTTTGTAATGTTGTAACGTAGTAAACCGTAAAATACTTTGAGAACCCTGGCTGATCCCTAGCTATCCGTAATGCAACGTAATGAAATCGTGCCGTTCAATGACAAATTCTTAACAAATTGTATTGTATCCTTACAAATACGTGGTGTAACCGTACTTGTACGTAGTTCTCCGGAACTAACCGTACAAATTTTTCGGGCCTACGAACAAGTACGGATTAATACGGTTATAACAGGGACTAAAACGGATCATTACGTTCTAATACGGTTTAGTAAGGATATACTACGGTTGTTTGATCCGTGGTCAAATTTTGCTCATGTTCAAAAACTGTCACGGATATACAAGTACTACAGCGTATGACTACGGCTACAATACGGAAATCTACGGACCAATACAGATTGCCACGAATGATGCCGGATCTTATCCGTAGCTAATCCGGCGTCAAATGCGTAAATTGTGATCTAGGCATAAAAGAGATAACTGGAATTCCCCACAATTATAGGACAGAATAATAGATATCATTAAAGATCAACCCGTACCCCACTCAACTGAGAAAATGGACGTGTAAAAATGAAAGACAACCATCAAAGAACAGCACATAATTTAGACAGTCGGAATTGGTACAAGCATAAACGAGATGGCGTAAAACAAATTTTACGTGCACACAAAACTCCTCTTTTGTCTATCAAGCCAATTTATTGTTAAATAAAAACACAAAATAAAAAACATTCACAGTGTAGCTACCAGCAGATTAATCAATAACACGAAAAAGGAAATAAAGAATAACACATAACTAGAAAATAAGGATAAGGGGAGGGGAGGGGGGTATTTTCGCTACTGCATCAACAACCATTTAAAAAAAAAAAGACATGTCCTTTATTTTGATATGGCATTATCATCGTGTCTTAGAATGTCCGCTCGATATCTTCCGCGTCTTTTTCAATAAGTTAATTGACGATACCTCAACACAAACATTTTTCCAGTACTTTACAAATCTGATTAGCTTTTTAAGTTGCTCTGTTCTATCTTTCTTGATGAAATCTCTCTGCCATTTTGTTAAAGACGGGGTATACAGATTACGTTTTGCGTCTGTTGTTTCTCTCATTTGGGAGTGGATGCTCTTGATATCAACTGAAATGAAATCATGATAACGTAAATTGTGTTTTTATTACAAGTCTTACAATCTTCTTTTTAGATGTGATAACAAATCATTGAAAATAGATTGAAATAACTATGTTTTAAATGAAAGTGTTCGAAATCACTGGTGCAAAGATTGGAGGAGTTATGTTTTCATAAATTTCAATTTCATTCATATTGTAGTTGTCCATTTGGGTTTGATGGTGTACAAATATTTTAGCTCGACTGCAGTTCATCAGAATGATAAGCAATTTTTGCAGTAGAAAAAGTAGCATAATGCGAGTCAATATCAGTGAGTCAAGAAATTCACATTACAATTTTCTTTAATTATATTTTTATGAAATCGTGTTTACAGTTTCTTGTTTAACGTATACATTTTTTTAAGCAAAACAAAACACCAGCATTTACCTCTAAAAAGATTATCTATGTAGTTTTTCTGTAAACCTATAACAAACAGATAAATGGAATCTAAACTATGATTTGTGTCTACCCAAATTAAACTGTAAATGATCGAGTTGATTGTAAGGCATTTCTATATTCAAACATAGACAAACTATTTTTAACTCTTGATTTTGACAATAGTCATGTGAAAATGAAGATATTGTTTGTAGGGTAGAATGACATTTTTGTTGCCACCATTACACATTAGACAATAAATTTAATCTACAATAGCTTTACTCTAGAATTGAGAATGGAAATGGGGAATATGTCAAAGAGACAACAACCTGACCAAAGAGCAGATAACAACCGAAGACCACCAATGGGTCTTCAACGCAGCAAGAAAATCCCGCACCCGGAGGTGGTCCTCAGCTGGCCCCAAAATAAAAATGTGTACTAGTTCAGTGAAAATGGACGTCATACTAAACTCCAAAACATATAAATGAACTAAAATAAAAAAAAAAACATACAAGACTAACAAAGGCCGGAGTCTCCTGACTTGGTCTTGTATAGTTATTCGATTTTCAAAAGATTGAGAATTTATTTATTTTGGGGGAAATTATTTTAATATTTATATTTTAGAACTTGTATTGATTTTTATCATCTTCCGTTTTCTAAACCAATAAATGATTATGATATGGGCATGTTGTATAAAAAGATATATTTGCAACGGATTTCTATTTAATTTTGAATTCACAAACATTGAAGAATCACTTTTTAGACGATCAACAATACGAAGTAGGTAACTTTTTATACCAACCGTGCAAGACCCTCTTGGGAAGTCAAGGTCGTTAAAAACCTCCCTCGTCGTAGGTAACTTTTCTAATAATTTGTACTATAATCATGGGTTTAATCATTATTGCAAAAATACCTTTTCTGTTTAGATATATACAAATACTATATTTTGGTAATGTCTAAAATCAATATCATGGTGAATAAATGTTATTGCAGTTTATTCAGGTTAAAGATAAGGATAAGCAAATATACATTACTGATAATTGTTACACAAATTTTAAATTAAATGAACATAACTTTTATTGGCAATGAATTTATAAATATAACAAAACTCTATTGTATTTTTTTTTTTTATTTATACAATTTTTTTCTGATTTTTGCAAGAAATATATCTTCTTTGTCATTTGTCTTTGAGTATTAATTGACAGGACAATTTTATCTAGTATAACTCAAGAGTAATAGATATTATTAAAAGTATAGCTTCTATACATGAAAAATATAACATTTATTAAGTATACTATTAAGGTATAAATTATGCACTGAGTTGTGTAATATAGTGTGTTGTATAATAGAGAGTTGTATAAATAATGTCACTCAAACGTTATTTTGGCCAATTAATAGGTCTTAAAAAGGAGGAGATTCCAATTAAAATTCCACCTTAGCGACTTATTTATTTTTGACAATGACAGATAAGACTCATACTGGCTACTGGTGATTGAGGCAGATGTCTTAGGTAAGAAATGGAACAATAGTACAAATCTTTTCAAAAATGTATGTGCGTTTTACGAAAGAGTATCGTCAAACAAATAATAAAATTTATTCTTACCATCTCCAAAATTAACAGCTGGTAAAATGTCAACATCTATAACATGGGCGTAACCAGTCTTAGGTTCTCTACAATCTGTTTGGAATGAGACTGCTCTTGGTTGTACACGCACATTTTTGAATTGTGGGCACGTGTTCAGTGCATCTTTGATATACCTCAAGATTGTCGACAGGTCATCATAAAGTTGATCAACAGATTGATATTCTCTTTTCGACAATAAGAAAACTAAATCTACATCTGACTTCCCTTTTATAGCCGTTCCTTTTGCAATCGATCCAGTCTGAATATTAAATAATGATATTTGCATTCGGACTAATATATTTTGACTTTCATAAGAACAATTATTTTAACAGATAAACGTTATATTTCTGAAGTTGTGTAAGAAAAATATCAAAAACAACGATTTTGACAAGATAGTAACATATCAATTATGCAGAAGTATTTGTTTTGTTATTTCTCTTTTGTTATTGTATTTAATATTTTTTGTGAATTGCGAGGACATATGAAGCATCTGGGAATTAGATGATAGAATGAATCAGTACAAAAGATAAGCAAATGTAGACAAAATCTGTCGTCTTGTGAACTGCTAAAACATTTGAAAATTGGTATACATGTAGGTGAAATGGCTGATTGTAATATTCAAAATGTAATTCATATAAAATAGTTTGCATTCATACACAATCCGAATAGAATAAACTTTCAACGAACAAAGCGCAGTGTTGTCTATCGGTACTTGTAAATCCATTTCTCTTGTAGAAAATTCCGCAGTGTTCATATAACATGGATTTTACTCAGCTTGTTCAGTTTTCTGCCAATAAACTGAACATAACTGATTTAAGCGCATTAAAAGACTAATTACGACCTACTAAGTTGTTCATTTTTTAGATCGCTTCAAATTCCCAGTATGTGTCATGACCAGGAGAATAGAGAAACAATAATTATTTTGATAAGAGCGCCTGCAATGAGTATAAAGTAGACGCAACGGGCATCCAGCGTACTATATTATTATCTTGATATCGTTGATGAGATTTTACTGCGTATATTATTATTTTATCAGTTTGTAACCTTTTGTAACTTAGCTTCATTGGTATCCAGAAAATGGAGCCGACATCTTTTTATTTGATTGTGATTGCATATTCTCACCTTTAAGACTTCATCTGGTCTTTATTTTCCCTTTATGTTATTCTTTAGAATATCACTGACATTCTTAATGACACCTTTAAATACAGTTCTGTAGGCATCATTCGTTTCAACATGGTCTCTGATAAACACTTCTAAATCACGTTCATTCCGTATAGAATCAATTGAAACATTTGTCATTGCCATCGTGTACTAGATAAAATTAAAAATGGAAACACGATAAAGATATACATTGATTTATATTACTAAGTATAGTCGATTGTAAACGCCTTTAGTTTTGCGTCGCTGAAATGACCTATATTTAATTTGTTTTGGAAAGAAGACGTTATTTAAGTTTTACTTTCGATTTAGATTTCTTAATATATGTATGAAGTTACTAAATTTAAATTTCAAGGCCAATCACGAGGTTATGAAAGAAACAAAGTAAGGCAATACGTTGACCTATCTCCAAATAATAATCGAACTAATACATTTTATGAAAATGAATTTTGTGTGGCATATAACGTTTTAACAGTTTGCTTATAAACATTTGCAAAACAAGGATATATTCAATCTAGACAATACACATGTAATAAAAAACACAACAAAAAACAGCATATTGTAATAAAACTAATATTTTGTTGACATTGATCCATGATCCAAGTGCACAAGCTAAGGAGAGTGTATTGTAGCTATCAAAGTAACAGAAGGCATATATAGTTAGTGCCTTAAGGCGATGTCTCTGCAAATAAGAGAAACGAAAAAAAAACTATTAGATATACTGCAAATTACCTTGAATAATTGATATTGGTATTAGTATGTCCTACTTAAGGCAGATCAGTCGAATCTCATAACAGATAACTATTTAGAAAGATAACTTATAAGTATACCATTATGAATATGTAAAGCCCGCAATGATCACCAAGGGACAGTGCCACATAATATATAATAGCACCATACACCTTCTACCATTGCACCATATGCCATACATCATTACACCATACACGTTTTGTTGGGAAGTTTACACCATCCAAGGGCTGTATAGGGAAATTTGCGATTTTTGACTTAAAACCTTAATATGACAATCATAACATAAAATTCTTTTTCACAAAGTTTTATCGATATATGTGCATTGATGAAGTAGCAAAATCAATAATTATTATTTTTTTAATTACCATCAAATAATAAGAAAAATAAAATGAACAGACATGCAACTTGTTACATTCATGAGTTAAAATTTTCTGTTTACCGTATATATTTCAATTTTAGATATGTTGACAGCGCAAAAAGTAAATCTTTTATTTTTTTCATATCTTCTTTTTCCAACAAGTATGGTGTAAAAGATAAGAGAATATACAATTCTAACTGTAAAGACAATAAGATGATGGTATTTTTAACCGAACTCCGAGGAAAATTCTAAACAGAAAGTCCCTAAGCCAATGACAAAATCAAACACATCAAACGAATGGATAACAACTGTCATATTCCTGACTTGGTACAGGCATTTTCTTACGTAGAAAATGGTGGATTAAACTTGGTTTTATAGCTAGTTAAACTTCTTGTACGACAGTTTCATACAATTCCATTATATTGACAACGATGTGTAAACAAAACAAACATAATAAGTAAAAATGTCAAAAATAGGGGCACAACAGTCCACATTGTTTTGTAATCTTAATCACCATAAAACAAGCAAATATGTCAACAAAGAAAAACAAAAAGACATATAGACAAAGCACATTGGCAAAACTGAAAGACAAGAATACAAAAATGTCCCATAGCACAATAACACAATGATGGAATATATAAGTACCGAGCCACGTCAAATGGATATTACCAAAAATAGACTAAACAGTAAAATTAATAATTTACAAAGACAATTAAAGAACAATATAACACTAAGACGATAAACAACGTCAGTACCTAGAATCTATACTTCAAGACAATCTTGTATTGTTTGTGAAGTTGATACGGAATATTTATCAACAAGGTCTTGGTATCTTCCGATGAACTTTTTTAGAAAACGGAAGAGACGTTCTTCGACATACCCCTGGTTCATCAACTTTCTGTTCAGACACTGGTGACGTTTTACAAATTCTGACTGGCAGATGCAAGCTCTAGAATATCGAATGAGTTAGGAAATGTATATCCCATATGCAGGTGAAGTTGGTATATTGTTACTTAGGTGGTTTGTTATAGATTCTGGTACTGAGATGACCGCTTATGTTACATTCGAGGTATAAGTATAAAAATGAGACAAAGGAAGCTGTGTCTGTTGTGTCTTTAATTTTTAGTCCTGGGAATATAGTACTGGAACCCAATCAGAAAGGTTTTAATTTTTAATGGAAAGAACATCATCAATATATCTGAATGAGAAATTAAATGATCCGGCTTCCGTGATCTTCTTGTTTTTGACAAGTGTCAACATACATCACAGGCATACAACACAATTGACTTAAAAATTCAAACAAAATAACAAATAAATCTAACAAAGACACCAACAAATAATTTTTTGTAGTTGAGAGTAAATTTGACAAAGACGCAAACAAAAACGTTTGTGTTTGTTGATAGTACATTCTGCAAAAAGTATACACTTTCTTCATAAAGTACGAATTAAGAAAAAATATAAAGACAAGGGAAAACAAAAGGAAAAAAAAAACACTCTTAAAAATTCATAATAGCATAAAGGCACACACAGAATAAATAAAAAGTTACAAAACGTCCACAATGTAGAATCTATAACTCAAGATCATCTCGTATTATTTATGACGTAAACATTGAATATTTACAAATTATGTCTTGGTTCTTTCCAATGATCTTAAAAGGACGAGTCGCTCTTTTACAAAATCAAGTCGTATCAATATTTTGCTCACACACCGATGAACAAAGTCTGAGTAATAACTGCAAGCTCTTCAATATTGTATAAAGTTGAACTAGTAAAATAGGTGTCTCCGGTATTTGATTTCCGATAAAAATAAGATTTTTAAAAAAACTAAATGCACTAAACTTACACTTTATGGACGTAGAAAGTTATTTTTTTTAAAAGGTACTGAAAGATGTACATGGAATATGCAAATTCAAACTTCTCGAAAGTAGTCATAATGATATATATTTCTGAACAAATTTCAAAAGTGCATATCATAACTGACTTTGTGTCAAAGTCTAATAAAAAATCAACGAGTTGTTTTTTTTCGTATCGTATAATCTTAATGTTGGTTGTTGATACGCGTTTACGAGCAATCGAATAATTCTCAGACGTACATTTGTAAATGTTTTGGCACCATGTTACAACAGTAAGTCATGGGAAAGAGCTTATTTGATATACTATATGATAAAAATTTGCCCCGTAAAAGCGGTACTTATCAAAATTGTTAACATAAAACGTTATTTTACTTAGCACTGCGCTCTATTCGAAATAATCTTTTACCGTTGATATTAACTTCTTTAGAGGCTAATTATTGTATATACTCTGAATAAAGACAATTTGCATATGAAACTAACAACACATTTCTAATTTAAGACACCTTTTTGAAACAGTAATAATTAAAAGAAGAAAAAAAGCAAATTTATAAAAGATATACAGTAATGCATGATTAGCATAACTGCTAAAATCTATGTCCATAATTACTTAACAGAGAATTCTTAGAAAGTGGTGCAGCACAACGTAACGCATAGCTAAATGATAACCTAATTAAAACTTGAAATGGGAGACTCGACTGTTAGTCCGTTTAAATTGTCTTCAACTGACCAGTTCAATGCGTTGTCTATGTTTGTTCAGTCGCTATTTAATATTTGTACATATAACCCTTACGGCCAAAAAAATAACGACATATAGTTTCAAAAAAAAGACTCTCCATTGCTTAAATTGATATTGAACAAGAATAACGATGCCACATTCATAGAATAATAAAACCAGACTAGTAAAAGTGAAATGATACTAATAAGAGATACAAAAAAAAATGAACATATCCATATTCCAAAAGGTATTTGAACGAAGACATTCATTTGTATTTGTTCCTCTGCTAATTTCTAATGCTATACTGAGGGACCTTAACACGCAATACTAGATTATTATTCTGTATTCCCATTATCAAATAGGCAATTTTTGTAAAATAAATGTATAAACATAAATTTTATACTTTTCTTAGTTGTTTGAACAAA